ACTCGGAGAGATGAAAATGACGTCGTGGATAATCGAGAGAAAAATCGGTGGAGAAATTTTCTTGGGGGAATTTTTTTTATTATTCCTCGTGGAATCGTGTTCGAAACGTTTTTATCACTCGGAAAATTCGCGCTGGGGGTGGAAAAGGAGGAAATGAGGAGTCTAAAATAGAGGAACCAGCAGACGCCCTAGAATTGTTCCGCGGGAAAATCGATCCGAGTTAATTTGCCCGTCGGCCCTCCCCCCACCCGTGGAAGAGGAAAAACTCATTTTCACGCGGTAAAGTTCAAAACCGAAACTCCATCCCATCAATTCAAGTTTTATCGTAAAACCAGCTGTTTCACCAGCACAATCCTCACACCCTTCTCCCTTTGTCCCCTCATCATCATCCCTTCTTCGTCATCCGGGTTTTTCGAACAGTGTTAGAATGCCTCCCGGAGTCTTTGAATATGGGATTGATGAAAAAAAAAACCCCGGAAAATTGAGTCGCAAATGCTTTTCCGAGTTTTTCCCCTTTCAAACTATCATACGCCCGCGATGGACGTAAACTAAACGCGAGCCATTTAAAATTTAGATGGCCTGCCTGTTTCGTATGTAAATAAATAAAAAAAAAGCGGGAAAAAATTTGAATATGTCACTTTAGGCTTTTTTTTTCCGGGGGTTTCTGCGCAATTTTCCGGAGGTCCCGGCTTAAAAAATTGGTGGGGAGCGATTGGGGCGGGAGTTTTTTTTTGGTAATTAATTTTTTGAGGGTCAGAGAAGGATTTTGATTGTTCAGATTGTCTGACGGTTTTTTAGGAGATATTGTGAAATTTGTTATAAGCTTCCGTGGCGCAATGGGCAGCGCGTTCGGCTGTTAACCGAAAGGTTGGTGGTTCGAGCCCACCCGGGAGCGTATTTTTTTTTTTTATTCATATCAATAAATTAATTAAAAAACCCTCTCATTCAGGTCTCCATTCAATTTTATGATTTTCCCCAACAATAATGTTGATAATAAATTATTCTTCTCCCCATTGCAATAATTTTTATATCCCAAAAAATAATTTTTATAACAATTAATCAATTTAATTACCACCCCAATGAAATGTATGACATAAAACAAAATCCTGAAAAAAATAGAATTATTTATCGCGACCGAGAAAAATTTTTTTTTCCTACGAGAATTTTTTTTTTAGAGTTATATTTATCGGTTATCAGTAGTTTGTGATTAGATTGAGTCTCGGGTGAGAGGTTCTGATGACGGATGATATTTTAATTGCGTAATGAGTTTAGGTAATTCCGTGGGTCATGCCGCTGGCGAACGCTAGACGTCGCATCGACATTTTCTTGTCCTCAGGTATATCATCGGTCCAAGGTATTAAGAGACCGACAGTCACGAGGAATAATCGTCTTCAGTAGGGTCATTACTGATCCACTTAGCAGATGATGAAATCAGGAGATGATCTGTGATTAAACTCCACTCCTGGCGGTCAAACTATCGCGACTTGCCAGTGATTATTCTGATGCTATACTGATGACTATTTTTATTGATTCCTTAGCAATTCTAAAAGGAATGTAAGGCTTGCTAATTGGAAACCAAATAAACTATTAGCGAACTGGAAATTACTAAATTAATTATAACTTAGTTAGGATTTAATAGGGTAGCATAACTCGCGAAAAGAAAAACATGTACTATAATTTTTACTCCAGGAAAAATATCACAAATGGAATTTAGAAGAGAATTTTTATATCCCATTTTTTAATTAAAAAAGTGATGTAACAAGTGTTCAATTGCGATGTAAATGTCAAAAAACGGAATGGAGAATTGAAATAGAATATTCTCCATATTTTAAATTGAGTGAATGATTTACCAGGTGTAAAAAAAAATAAAAATCTCGGACTGTCCGTGAATTTTCCAGCTTTTCACGAAATTAGGGGATTACCGTGGGATCAGGGGATTAATCCCCAAGAAACAAACCGCAGCGAAAAATCCAGTAACATTTATCGATCGATAATTTAATCCATCGTTTGTCCATTCACCAAAAAACCTCATTCCCCCGGTGTAATTTAATTTTGTTGATTCACCAAATAAACGTGAGCGAATGCAATTTATATTGTTTGCTGTACAGCCTCATGCCAACAGTTGCATATCGGATAACATCCGTGCATGAACAGCTAGAAAGATATCCCTGTCCTCTGAAGTCGGGGAATTGTTAATTAATTCCCTTCGTCTCTAGTGTCACAATACAGTACGAATTGTTCACGTGATGCACAAAAGGAAATGAATCCAGTTTTCTGTGACACATGGATTCATCCGGAGGAAAAAAAAAATAAAAAAAGGGCTATCACTTTCTCAATTTTTGTCATTTTCGTTGTGACATTTTTTTTATTTGATTTTGTAGGAGTAATTTAATCCTCTTTTTTAAATACCCTTATCCGGTGAAAGGGAGAAAATAGGGAAAACTGTGGGTAATAAATTGAATCGCATTTTCCTCCCGAGAAGAAATCAAAAGAATGGGTTTGAGGGGTCTAAAAAGACGTGCAAACACTTTCATCTGGGACTAACCCCTCATTTCTCTTATTTTTCTCCGTGAATTCCTGGATGTATAGGACGTTAAGGGTGCCTTCGGATAGTCGAGTCATTACGGGGACAAAGGGAGCGGCCAATCGTGAAGAGAAAACCCGTCAAGACTGAGTATTTTCTAGCCAGACGGTTCACCTATTCTCCAGAATCTACACCCGAGTCGATGGCAAAAAAAAAAGGACGAGACTAGCTCCAAAAAACATGAATAAAACACTGAATCCCTTAAAAATACATTCATCATTCTCCAAAAAAAAAAACTGCCACACGATTTCTCGATCAGCAAAAAATAATCGATATCTCGAATCGGATCGATTCAAAAAAAAATTTTTTTGTCTCAAAAATCGAATTAACGATGGATTAAAAAAAATCGGTGTTTAATCGAAAAATCTTATTGCAAAATTCTCAGGGATTGATTGAAATATTTTTTTTATAATTATTGGATTAATCAATTGAAAAACAGATTATCTGTAATGAATAATGTTGGAGTATATTAATATTGTATAAATTATTTGGTATTCTAGATTGAATCGAGATCCTGCGAGTGACGGTGACGTGGAAATTCTAGTGGATTTTCACGAAAATGGGGGAAACAATGGAGTCAAGTGGCAAATGTAATACTGTAGTGTTGGCTAGGGGGAAATTTTCCAGGGCGAGGTACGTTAAAGTGAGACCCGGTGATGCGGTTAATGCATGGGTAATGTCAAGGATCTCTATGGAACCATCATGGGATTATCACCAGAGAGTAAAAGATCCTCAGAGATCGGTTTTATCTGTATAAAACTA